TGAGGTCCCTTCCAGCCCTAATGTCTATGAAATCTATATTCAATGTAGTTAGTTGGTCACCATGACTTGAAAAGGAATGGGTGCTGAGGGAGACTGAACATAATGGACACTGCCATATACCTTATTCAGATGGGCTATATTAGTCTATTCTATGGGCCATGTGGTTTATAGTTGCATTCAGTGTTGGCTGTATTTAATCAATGTCATAGTTAGCTTCTATGATTGCGTACATGCTACTTTTGGCTGCAATTTAATAATAGACTGTATTTAATGAGGTTTCCTTGTATACAAATGCAAGACAATGAACTTTTTTGCCCACACTGACTGGGGGAACCTGTCTTTTATTCAAGTAAATACAGTATTGCGTGACAAAATAGGGATGATATTCATTCTTCTGCTTTTTCATTTCTCTAGCTCTTTAACTGACAGCTGATGAGCGATTATGCGTGTTGCATATAAGCATTAATTCAGTCAGTTTATATGTTATTGATACAGTTAGCAAAATGACCAATATTAAATAATATGTAATTGGGTAATAACAAATATATGCAATTGAATACATGAATTAAAATCCCCGTAGAAGAAATTAAGCTTAAATAATCTATGAAAACACTGCTTTACATTATTGATTTGTATTTACTGGAGTGCTCCTTCATGTCTTAGAGGATTAAAGAGCTCCATAGTAACTATTTCTTTACAAACTGTCATGTCTTTTGTCATAGTTAGTTTTGTAAATGAGTAATTTACAATCTGCAACTGATTTTCTTTCCTGCCTGGTTTTATTTCTGTGTTTAGGTAAGGCAAATAAAAAGGTTTGTTTCTAGTTGTATTAACTTTATATGCTAAAATGCAAGAGACAGTCTTTCTGTTTATGTCATCATTATAACTCTGCCCAGGAAGTTTTCTTCTAATTTGTCTTTTGTGACTTAAGAATCTTAGTAGAAAGTTTCACTTCCCAAAAAATTGTCATGTGAGGGTTACATCATTAACCTTGTGATTTGTGAGTAAGCATTTTAATGCTTCATAATTTTATTAATTAACATATAAAACTATATTGAACTATATATATATTAGTAAAAATAGTTATATTCCAACCTTGCATAATTGTCATCAGCATTTACCATCTACTCACACGCCTTGTTCCATAATGATAATGGAGTTAGAAAAAGATAATTGACCAGTTTAAAATAAATTAGTTGCAGAATTTTGCAAGACTGTTATATGAGTTGTTAAAAGGACATTTTTGATAGAGCATTAGCCTGGGCATTCAAGGCACAATACAGCCTCAAAAGAATTAACTGTATTATTCAGTCCCTGTAGTTATCATTGTGTGGCACATTATTATTAATCAGGAATCTGCTTTCTACTATTGACTTTTATTTTGGAGTTTTTAAAAAGTAGTAGTGATGAGGGCCTAGGTCAGTGGTTCTGAAGCTTTTTCAGTTGACGTACCCCTGTGTCTCAGAGTGAGACTTCATGTACCCCCTGTCAATGGGAAATTAATTTTTTAAGCCCTTCGGCCTGTGTTAGACAATGTGTGAAATATATCTCACGTATCCCTTGATGAGGCTTCACGTACTCCCCTGCGGGTACATGTACCCCTAGTTCAGAGCCACTGGACTAGATCCTCAAAGGCATCTAAATTCTGAACACCCACTGATTTCACTAGGAGTTAAACACCTAAAATAGCTTTGAGGAGGAGGTCCTGAATGACAATCTGTTGCCTAGCTTGCAGGCTTACCACTGGGAGACTTCAGGACAGCTATGGCTACTCCTTTTATTTTTAAAGGAAAGTGGAAATGATCCCATCTTAGTGGGATAGTTTTCTGTTGTCAGTGACCCTTTTATTTACACTGTTAAATCCTTGACAGAAACAGTTTGATTATTTTTCTTAGTACTGCTCATAATTTTTTATAAAAATGCCTTATCTTAATCCCCAAAGCGCTAATGGGTAGTCATTTACTTCTCATAGGAGTTCTTTGGAATCTCTCCTCTTGTGATGCACTGAAAATGCCAATCATCCAGGATGCCCTTGCAGTGTTGACCAATGCAGTAATCATCCCTCACTCTGGATGGGAAAACTCGCCACTTCAGGATGATCATAAAATACAGCTTCATTCATCACAGGTGCTGCGTAATGCCACTGGGTGCCTAAGGTAAGTCTGGCAAAACATTTGTTTTGACCTGATCCCACTTCCATTGTCTTCCCCAACCCCAATCTATACTAAACTTGAGTGGCATTTCAGCAAGGCGACTTTTCAAGCTCTAGCCTTTAAAATGTGAAAACCATTCAGAAACCAAGTGTCAGGTCATTCGTGAACAATCTCTAAAAGTGTGTTTTGTTTTGTTTTTTTAATAGTTTTAGACCAATCCCATAACTAAAACACATTACAGATGGGTTTTTTTCTTCTTGTAAAATGTCCTGTGTTTCCAATTGCTTAAATGGTGTCAATGTGTTCTCATTATCACATCCAATTTAATTAGTGTACAAAGTAATGCATATGCCTAAACATAGGAATGTTAAAATGCCTATGGGTTCCAAATGCTATTGCTGTGGTATGATAAATTTGTAAAGCATGTTTTTTCATGCTGGAGAGAGATGGAAAAAAAGAAATAGAGCAATAGAGCAACCCATGTAACATTGTGCAACCCAAATATCTAAACAAATTGTAATCAACTTGGTGCATCTTTTCCTAATTATGAATGTGGATATAGTGAAAAAGGTAACAAAATTGAGAGGTATTTCTGTCCTGACAAATTGCTGCCAAGTCTTTCAGTCTCCTAAATACTATCTTCGGTTGTTGCAGTGTTTTGCTCTAACACTTTGGGCAGATTTCATAAACTGTTGTTGGTATCAGTTTCTCCCTCTATAAATGAGAATGCATTTATATACTTCACAAGTTTGTTATGAAAATTAATTGGTTTAATGTTTTTGAGACGCTTTGAAGAGACTGCATGTTCTAAGATCAGTATTTGTTGTTATTATTGTAATTGGCAGTGTGTCGTGTCCAAAGAAGAAATTAATTGGATAGGTCTGAAGAGAACTGATCTGTGGTTAGGGATGCAGAGAAGTGGGGGAATGCAGGCTTTTCCATGGTATTCTTTTCCCTTCTTCCTCAGTGAATTGTCATCTTTCTAAACAGCGTAAGTGGTTCTGAGAGAAAGTAAGAGCTGATAATTGACTGCTGCTAATATGTCATTGCAGGAAGACACAGCTGAAAAAGAAATATTTGAATATTGCTAATGTACTGATCAGGTTTATGAGCTAAAAATGTTGGCATATTCATAGACACCTCTAAGCATTTTGGGATGCCTTAAAGGAAGCATGTTTTTGTAGGTTAGCTGGTTCTGATTCTGAAAGCAGCTTGGTGTTCTAATTTTGATGTATGGCATGTTTTGTTTATGGCACTAGGAAATCACAACCCACTGGAAATATGTGAATCCTAGTATGAGAGAAATACCCTATAATACCCATGCTGGCTGGAGATTCCGGGACTGGATTCTGGGTACCAGCTGTGATCTGTAGCCACTTCCTGTAGGGACACTGATGGTAGCTCTGCTTGATATTCCTATGTCCCTATGACTCCCCCTTGGAATTCAGGATGGCCCTACAGGTACCCTACCTCAACTTCCCTCTAAATACACACCCAGAGTCTTTAAAACAATATTCCTCCTCTCATTTGGCCTGGAGTTAATAATGTGTCCCCTAAAAGTTTCCCTTTTACATCTGAGGTTTCTCAATCCATTGTTTCTTGCATTTGTCTTCTAACCTTGGCCTCTGTATTCTGTGAGCTTTAGCCTCTATTCTGGGGTTTTCACAGCACTTCTTCAGGAGTCTTTGTCTCCAGCCCTGGCCAATAGATTTTTCTCATGAAAGTTAGGGTGATCACATATCTCTCCTTCCCAACAGCTCTCAGACAGTGCTTGCAGCTTTCTTTTGATTAACTCCAAAGTAATCTAAATGCCCCCCTTCCATTCCCTCCCTCCTTCCCTGCATCCTGCAGCTCTACAGTGCTCCTGGTCCTGGGCCCTTAAAGAACAATGATTTGGGATTACAGTTTCTTCTTCCTCCCGGGTATTGAGTGTTTCTCGTGACCACCTTCTCTCTCAGGTATTTCTTCAGCATTCATTCATCTCCCCCAGACATACGTAAGAGGCTAACTGTCCTCAAAAACTACCTTTTTTAAAAAAAAAACACCAGTATACTGTTATTCCTTTTGATTTTTTTTTTTTAATCAACTAATGGGATATAGGTATGCCTCTTCCTCAGAGAAGTCTGCATAGATGCTAATGTAGAAGCATGGAGCATTCAGAAAGGACAAATGCTATCCAGAGCAGCAAGAACTTCCCCTTTTACATTTCATAACTGTTGCCGACCTGTTGTGCTGAAGAGCATTACATTTTATGTGACTAAAAAGAAAAGATCCCACTAGCCATTTGATGCATCTTAGAATGCTGGGTGCCTAAGAATTATTTGCACTTCTGCTGGTACAGTCCTGATGAACATTTTATAAATAGGTAGTTTTAAAATTAAAATTACAGATCTCTGTAAGTACATCTGAAAGAGCTGCTGGATTCATGCTTCCCAACCACCCCCTTCTCTCTTAGCATTGTGCAAGATAGCAGTAAGCAGGATGCAGCAGAATGTCTGGGAGAAAAATACCAGAAAGCGTTGGTCTTTACAAGAACTGACAGTGTATAGAACCCCCTGGGGAGTTTAAAAGGTTTGTTGTACTGCCTTTTAAATGCTCCCACTCTACACCAAAGGTCACCAGTGCTTCTTCCTATCTGTGACTAGATACACATGCTCTGTATCCCGTATGTCCTATGGTGCACATTTGAGATGACCTGTAAGTCTTTCTAGGAAGGGTGGATTAAATTCCTTAAAGGAAGGAGATATACTGCACTTCCAGGCTGAACCTGTTATTCTAATCATTTATGTCCATTTGATTACAAACATGGATCATTATGGAAAACATGCCATCTTTTTCTTTGGGATCATCAGCTTGTTATTAGAGAAGACAATTTTCTGCTTCCTTATCTTTAACTTTCCATTTCCCCCTTTGCTTTGAGTCCCTTGGTTTGCTTAATAGGACAATTCTGGCACCTGGCACCAGTTGCTATGAGTTGCATAAATATTTGCAATAAGGATGAATTGTATGTTAGGAAAATATTTTTATGCCTGCTTTCTTCTTTTTAAACAGTTGTTTTGAATATTTCCATGTAGACCCTTGATTACTGTGTGCTTACACTGTGGAAGGTTTAATGCTAGGTAATGTGCTATGTAAGTGTGGTGTGGTGTTTTTTGTTAATATTCTAGAGTGTTTGGGGGCAGTTGCTTGCTTGCTTGTTTGTTTTATGATGGACTGACATTTGAAAGGCTTAAATAAATAGATACATAAATCATAATAATGAAATCATAATGAAATCATTGTCTAGATACTATACTTACTGGTAACCAGCCATGCATATTGTAACAGTGGTTGCCAGATCTTTGGGGGGGGGGTTTGTTTTGTTTTTCCATGCATCATATGAATAATTTATCTTTATACTTTTCTTCCCCTTGCTTATTTTCCCATAAGGTTTTCTTACTTGATTTTCTTCTTTACGGAGGACATAGTATTAACTTAGTAAAGAAATGTCATAATACTCTTATACCCCTTATTTATGACTTAGTTTATAAGGGTGCCTATAAACTAAGTTTGGGGGGAGGTGAGCACGCTAGCAGGGAGTGAGAGATTGCAGAAGGATCTGGATAGGTTACAGGGGTGGGCTAACAGGAACAGGATGCGTTTCAATACGGACAAGTGCAGGGTGCTGCACTTGGGCAGTAGGAACCAGCAGCACACTTACACAATGGGGAACTCCCTACTTGAGAGCACGGAGGCAGAAAGAGATCTTGGAGTCATTATTGACTCCAAGATGAACATGGGCCGACAATGCGAGGTCATGGTTGGCAGGGCTAACCGGACCTTATCGTGCATCCACAGGTGCATCTCGAGTAGAGCCAAGGAGGTGATCCTCCCCCTCTACGCGACGCTGGTCAGGCCACAGCTGGAGTATTGTGTCCAGTTCTGTGCGCCCCATTTCAAGAGGGATGTGGACAACATGGAGAGGGTCCAGAGGAGGGCCACCCGCATGATCCGGGGACAACAGGGCAGACCCTACAGTGAGAGACTGCGGGACCTGAACCTATTCAGCCTCCACAAGAGAAGGCTGAGGGGGGACCTGGTGACCGTCTATAAACTCACTAGGGGGGACCAGAAGGGTTTGGGGGAGACGCTGTTTCCCCTAGCGCCCGCTGGCATAACAAGGAGTAATGGGCACAAGTTGATGGAGAGGAGGTATAGATTGGACATCCGCAAAAACTACTTCACAGTTAGGGCGGCTAGGAGCTGGAACCAACTTCCAAGGGAAGTGGTGCTGGCCCCTACCCTGGGGGTCTTTAAGAAGAGGCTGGATGCCTACCTGGCTGGACTCATTTGAGTCCCGTTTCTTGTTTTGGGGTTTTGTTGTTCTCCCGCCCTGGCGGGGGGTCGGGCTAGAAGATCTACTAGGTCCCTTCCGACCCTAAATCTATGAAACTATGAAACTTGCTCAATGGTAGGAGGGAGCATTTTAATTAAATTAGTTTCCAGAGAGCTGCTCTAATTAAAATGCTGCAGCATCGCATGTATTAAGCCCCTGCATGTTTAAAACTGGCCGTGGGACGCTTTAACTAAAGCTCAGTCAATGAGCTTTAGTTAAAGTGCTCCAGTGGCCATTTTTAAACCCATAGGGTGCATTTAGACCACTGCAGTTGTGTGGTATGTGGCACTACAAGCATGCTTGCAGCCCAACATACCGCAAGTGCAGTGTTCTCTGTGCTGCAATGGCAGGCTGCCCAAGCATGCACTGCTCCATTTTTTTTTCCATGTTTTTTTGACCCCTGGATATTCAGGGGTCACAAAAAACCACAGAGAAAAAACGAGCAGCGCACGCTTTGGCAGGATGCGCTGCTAAGAAGTAGAGCTGGGCTGCTCAGAGCCACACTGTGGCTGCCAGCCAGGCTCCACCCAGCAGGATCACCATGGCTGCAGCTCTGGGAGGCTTCCAGGATGCCAAGTAAGGCTGCTGGGGCCAGCACAGTGCTAGCCCCAGTTTCTCCTATGCCACC